TTTTTGTTGGCTGGTCCAGGAAACGTCATCCATCAAATTGTGCACGTGTTGTACTAGGCGATGAAAGGAGGCAATGTGATGAGCAGATGTGTGGATTAAACTGATCTGTACGTTCACTGATCCATATCCATTGTTTTTGTGACTTGACTGCAGCTCGTGAATGATCAGCAGTCGATTGCAATAGCGCAACTCTACTTGCGCCACAGTTTATTTTGTAAGTTGCGCAACATTTTCATGCAGCGCAACATTTCAGTTATACATTTCACGAATATTTCATAGTGCGTAGATCAGCGACTTGCACAATAAATTATGGCATAACTTGCGCAGTTGTTTTAGGTGGCGAAAGTTGTGGTGCAGCAACTGGTTGAAAATGGCCTGTATTACCAGTAATATTTTTAACTAAATGCAGCCACAAAAACTATCATTAGATTTTCATGCATTTGGGAGCTTAAGGTAATATAACCTTTGTACAAGATTTGCAAACATCAAAAAACAAAACTACCTAATTATTATGAAATTTACTTGACTGTATTGAATAATAGTCTCAAGCATCCTATAGATTATTTCACCTGGTGTGCTGTTATTTTCTAGAAAAGACAAATTTTTGTATCAGTTTCCAAAAATGGTCGGCCGACCATCGTTGGAAAAAAAAAAAAAAAATACTGCACCCAATTTACCAAATTTCTTTAGTTCACACTTTGTTTGCAATCGGTTACACATCCATGAATGAGGGCAAGCCAGCTAGTCTGGTTTCCTGATCTGACAATTCCCTGACGTCTATAAATTGCTCCATTTTGTCTGGAGTAAGGTCAGGGAACCAGCTTACAAGACTAGCATTTTTTCCCCTTGGTTTTTCCAGCAACTACGAACACGAAACCTTTAAAGATCAGTGTAACAATATTTGCTATTAAATACCCAAATCCAACCATTTGTGAAAATCACTTCAAAAAGCAAATGTTACCTTTAAACGATCTCAAAGAGTAAGTGGGAAAAAAATTGTTTCAACAGCCCATTAAACAAGCATGCAAGCAAACAAACACGCACATTGAAACAGACATATATATATCAGCAAACCCAATCCTTATTAGTTTACGCATGGCGGGCATGTCTGGGATAGTTGGTGGCACATTCATGCAGGCCAATTACAACTCGGGGTGCGTAACTCGAGCCAGAAAATATCGACACGCTCGACGTTCCCTGGCATCCCTCACCAGCTGAAAATGGATCATCAAAAGTGTCATCGCTAATTACACTGACCCAGTTAATTGACAATTGAGTTGCAGGTGCACCGCTCAAGCATACAGCCTTACATTTTTTTAGGTCTGGTCTGCGATATCATTGTCTCCAATACCCTAATACCCCCCCCCCCCCACACACACACACGCACCCCCCCCCATTGTTTTTTACCCAGCCCAATGCTCTCATTATACATAATCTTATCAAGAATAATAGCCCTTCCTTTCTATCAATCCGCAATTAACTTTTTTTTGGTCTGCTGTACGATCACAGTCTCCGAATTCCAATCTCCTCTTGTGCCCTCCCCCCCCCCAAGAAAAAAGGGAAAGAAAGAAAAATGTTTCCATTCCAATGATGTCATTATACATTTTGTGAAATTATTTTTTCTGGTATGCTGTCATTTTGAAGAAAACAATAAAAGAAGGTCATTTCCAAAGATGCGTCTAAAGACGCATTTCTGGAAATTTCCAATCGTAGGTCGTTTTAAATTCGGTGAAGCCATGAATTGGTGCGCGTAAGCGTCGACACGACACACATGACATTCGTCCGTTCAGTGCGTGACATAGCGTAGCTGCATGCGGCTGAATGCGAACGTGTCCTGGATGCTATTACGGACGCAATATCAGCAACTTTTGAATTGAAATCGAGATCCTAGAATATTGTTTTCTCAGAATATACAGCATTCACTAAGCTAAAACTTTATCTGGTGAGTTGTTAAGCACCCATCTTTAGATTTTGAGCGCTTTTGTTGCTTCAAATGAAAAAAATGCACAAATGACAAATGATGTACTCTACCTTAACGTATTTTTTTTGGTCTGCTCTACTGTAGCACAATCTCCAAATCCCCTTGGCCCTTGCCCCCTCCTCCCCCCCCCCCCCCCCAAAAAATTCATCCAGCGGAATGCTGTCATGATATATAATCTTATCCTCATAATAGCCCTTCTTCTTTATCACCCCGCAATTAAAGAGTAATTTACGCTATCAATTCCTCTGGCATTTTTTTTGTTATCCTGCTCCCTCTTGAATGGTCCCAGCGGTGGGTCTTTAGTTACAGGCCACCGAGCCCCAAATATGACCAAGAATAACACGGGTGGATTCACCGCTGACATTGTCAGCAGGGCTTGCGTTATTGACTAGTCTTCTCACCTGTCTGAATTACATTTGCAAGCCTTGGTTGCAAAACATTAGTCATCATCAGTATGCAGCTGCGGCGTGTAACCCAGTCTCGACGGAGACTAATTCATATTGCAAGACTTGTTCTGAATCTGAATAGAAAAAGCAAAAAATGAAGAAAAAAATGGGTGTTTAGATACTTGGTGAAATAACTTGGCTTTTGCTTTGGCGGAGTTTGAATAAAGATGAATAATGAGAGATGCATTTGCATTTTTTAAATGACAAGTGGCGACAACAGTTGACATTGATTGACTGACTTGAGTAGGAAAAGATCTACATACGGTATACTCGAGTAAAAACACAATAATGATATTTTCTTAAATGTAATATACCACATTTGCTTTTGCTGCAATTTTCAGAAATGGACAGATTTGGGGTTAGTATTTTTTAGCAATATTGTTACACTGACCTGTTTTAAGTTTTGTGTTTGCAGAGGCGTGATAACCAACCAAAAAAATGCTGTTCTTGTAGTCTGGTTCCCTGACCCTACTTCAGATGAAACACAGCAATTTGTAGACGTCGGGGAATTGTCAGGTCAGGGAACCAGACTGGATGGCTTGCACCCGTTCACGGATGTGTAACCGATTTGCAAACAAAATGTGGACTACATGTAACTAAATTTGGTAAATTGGAGGCAGTACGTGTATTTGACAAAATCAGTTTTACTTTTTTTCCAACGATGGTCGGCCGACCATCGTTGGAACTTGATACAAAATTCCACTTTTCTTGAAAATGACAGCACAGCAGGTGCCATGATTTCACAGGATGCTTGAGACTATTATTCTTTTACAGTCAAGTAAGGTATTTCATAATAATTTGGTAGTTTTAGTTTTTTTGATGTTTGCAAATGTTGTATATTACCTTCATTTAAAGACAACTCGTGCTGGGAATAATTTACTTGGAATTCCATATTCTGTGTTTCTTTTGCATTTCTCAGTTTGAAGCTGGGACTGCACTGAGTTACTTTTGATGACCCAAGCAGGTGTAGGATTGTAACGACCCTTGCATATATGATAACTGCATATATGATAACTGCATATATATGATAACTGCATATATATGATAACTGCATATATGATAAGGAGTTGACGTTAGTCATTAAAAGATAACCAAAATGTGTACATATGACTGACAACCCCATGTGAGAATGTTGTACTAAATGTACCATTAGGGAGACGCATTATCGTAACTCTTCGATAATAGGGAGACACCGGTCATTAGGGAGACACATAACTGTCTCCCTAATGGCACAGCCCCCTTTAGAGGCAAAATTTTGCTGTCGCAGTTAGGTTATATTTTTTGTTTATGGTCTAATTAGTAAACATACCGAAATTTGTGGAAAAAGGACAAGGGAATATTGGGTTAGGGCACATTTAAGTTTGAACAATTTTGTGCACAAGTCTATGGGAAAGTCTCCCTAATGACCCACTCCCGGTAATTTTATCATTTTTATGTTGCTCGGTTTAATACAAGTAGATAACTGTGTCTCACAATGCAATTCCTTCATTGTACGTACAAATCTTCAGAAGCTTCTTTGTTACCAAATCAATTTATACTGATATTTCTGAAAGTATTGACTGTGCATTGACTTTTTATCTGTAGGAGCAGGTCATGCTGTTACAATTTGTACTGTTATTTTTTCTTTAACCATAAACTTTTGCAAATCTGCCAAAAATTGACGCTTAGGTTTGGGAACATTTTCAGTTGGTTTAGAACTGTAGGGCCTTGTGACTGTTTCTTTATAGGAGCTCAATGTTGAAGTTTGTTCAAAGATAAAGAATGCCCTTTTGGATTAACCCTAACAGAACTCAACCCATCCAACCCCAACGGCATGTTTTGTTGGAATCTGTCAGGATGGGTACAGTACGCCTAAACTGACAGTCTTTTACATTGGGTTGGCACACCTCCAGAATCAAAGTCAGAAATATGTGTGTGCAGTTTGCCATATGGTGTTGGAATTTGCCAGGATGGGTATGGTTCCTAGTAAATCATGCTAGGGAGTTAGGGTTAAAGAACCTGTGTTGGAGTTTGGATGGCTAGGAAAATGTCCAAGCAAAATGCCCAGAGAGTTATGATTTAATTATTTATGCTCAGACTTGAACCATTTTTTTTTGCCTAGATCATGGGTGAGATTTGTCAAGATTTTGCTTGATTTCAGGATTAATAAATAAAACTTGGGAAATCTGGAATGGTTGAGGTTTTAACATAAAGATGTCTTTACTTTTAACACGAAAAAGAAAGGGGTATTTTAAGGGCTGCCTTTACTCTTTATACAAACAAATACCATGGACCTTTTCATTGCTTTGGGACCCTTGACGGCCCCCAACCACCTCTGCTGATTATTCTGTAGATTTCTCATTTTCTCCCAATCTCAGCCCTGCTAGATACATGTATGCTACTTAACCCAATTTGATTCTGATGTGGACAGCCTGAGAAGTTCATTTTCCAAGCCACAAGACTTATTTTAATACAGGCCAACCCGCGTCCAGTTTGTCTGTGTCCCTTGTTTGTCATGTTTGCAACTACCTTCTAAAATATCTTTTTTCATTTCATTACCCATCCCGTCCCCCCCCCCCCCCCTCGACTTCCAGGTCTCGATATTGCGTCAGATGCCCACCATCGAGGTCATCAACCTCAGCGTCAACAGCATCACCACCTTGGAGGACTTTGCCCACTGCCCCAACCTGGTGGAGCTCTACATCCGCAAGAACTGCATCGGGGACCTGTCGGAGATCTGGTACCTGCGCAACCTGCGCAAGCTGCGGGTGCTGTGGCTGGCCGACAACCCCTGCGCTGCGGGCGACCACTACAGGCTGACGGTGCTGCGCATGCTACCCAACCTGCAGAAACTCGACAACAGTTGTGAGTATTTTGGCCTAAAAGGCAAATGCGAGTACGATGCAAATTTTTGATGTCACAAAACATTCGCAGCAAAAGTCACCAGAGTTTATATGTGTGCAACTTGTGCAAAATTCGCACAACTTGTCTGAAACTTGTGCGAAAACTTGCCATGACATTCCACTGGAAAAGAACCATTGGTTTTTCATTTATTGGTAATTAACCCTCCAATGCGAACATACATTCTGTGCAAAGTTGTCCTTTCAGTCAAAATCAATCAATCAAGTGACTGTTTTCAACAGTTAAGAGCTCCCAGCCTACATAAAGCAGGATTGACTGGCTGTGACTGTTTATGCGATTTGATACAACTACCGGTATGCTTTGCCTATAGGTCTCATTCAAATGACGTCATTTCCTACAGACCAGCCACGTGCATCAGCATTTTGAGCGTGAACTTGCATAACGCGCATCGGCTGCGTGGTATTTTGAGCAACAAGCACGCGTGTTTGGAACTCTTTCAACACTGTGCAATGCGTGCTTGATCGCGTAAAATACGCAGTTGCGGTTCTCCTACAGAGATGGCCGTCATTGAGCGAGCCCTATAGTTGATTGAAAAGCCAGCTGTGCCTACCACTTGTCTGCTTTTGTCGCTTGACTGAATTTGACTAGGCACAGTGCTTGCTGAAAATATGATCTGACTGTTGGTGACTAGCCTTTGTATAAGGCATAGCAGGGGAAGAGGATCAATTTTTTTTTACTGTCTGTGATTGTTCAGACAGCTGAAGGGTTAAAGTTAATATAACATAATTCCTACCATTTTGAAGCCCTCATTTTTCAGCTCATCTGCTTCATTTGTAGTTTTTACTGAACCACCTGCCATATCCTTTCACCCCCTCGGAAATCGGACTTAACCCCTCTCATCACGGTGCCACTAACCTGGCAAGTAGAAGGGAAAAAAAGAAAGAAAACATAATACCATGAGGACCATCACATTCATTGTAATTTGACATGACTGAAAGATGGGAAGATTACAGCACTTCTCTTTCCACACCCCGTCATCAGTCTTCCTGCATGTTTGTTTTTTGATAAATCCGACAGAAAAATTGACGAGCAAAAAAAAAAAAAAAAAGAATTAGTGTCCCTCGAGATGATGTGAGTAGAAATTGGATTGGTCTCCAGTCAAAGCCTCTTCAAGCTGTCGAAGGGGAACTTTCCTACGAGAAGACAATGCGATACCCTTGGGGCAAACTGTATTATTATGTATTTAAAAAAAAAAAAAAAAAGCCCAAGCGCGAGCAGAAGCCGCTCTGATGCGCGCCCTCTTTTACTTCACTTGGCGCATTAGCCTGCCGTTGAGTCATCACGTGTCACCAGCGTTGCGATGACAGTCTATCACAGATGGAAAGAGAGAAAAAAAAGCAAGAGAAAAACACAAAACAAAACAACAAGGAGTGAAGCATCTTCACCATCTAAGAAGATTACCCAACGGTGGGGAAATCTCTTTTGCCCGGGTGACGACGTTGGCGCCACGCTTGCATTTTTTTTTTTTTTTTTTTTTTTTAAATTTGAATGAGTTGGAGTGGTTGCGTTGTCTCTCACGCCTTTTTTTTCTCCCCTCTGATCCGAACCATTGGGGATAGGCTATACATGTACCTTACGACTCAACGACTTTGCCCTGTGTGTCGCTGACCAAAAAGGGGGGGGGGGGGGGGGTTTGTGGCTGTCAGAAAGAATTGTGGAAAACAATGCTGCTTAGTCCGGAGTGAACTTGCGTGAACCCGCGTCGCGGGACATCCCCGTTCCCCCGGGTGATAAAAACACTACAAGTACACTGTAAGAGAAATAGAATCACGTTAGTCCTTTTTTTTTAAACATTGGATGTGACTGGAAACTTTAAGATTCTATTATTTATGCGATTGTAGAGTGCAAATGGTCTTGGCACTGCTCGCGCCGCGCGACGGTATCTAATTCGTGTAATCAGTCGTAAGTCACTAATTTACAACCACTCTTTTGATAGTGCTCTGCACTTAAAGGAGGATGCGTCATCTGTAGAAATTTGTTTCGGTAGTTTTCTTTTTGTTTCATATTGGTCAATATTGTTGAATGTAGTGAACAAAAATATGCTAGAACCGCAAAGATTTGTCATGGAATGACTTCATCTTTATGGAAAACAGGCTTTTAAAATTTCTGCTCCAATTCATCAATACAAATTAGAAAAAGGCTTCCATGCCGGAGAAAAGGGTACATATTCTTATTTTTTCATTCATTTTGTTCACTCAGTATGATCAATCAAACTATTTCTTGGGTACATTTAAAAGAAGAATCATCATCCACCAATAAAAAAGGAGCAATATTATGGAAAGATTAATGTGTTTAAAAAAAAACATTTCTTTTTTTAGTGGCTATTTTCTAGCAATACATTTTTGAAGAAAATATGGGTAGAGGCATTATTTATGCCTTGCAGTGGACTAGTTAACCCATCCCAACCCTACTCATACCGTGAAGAGATTAGATTATCTTGTCTTGTTTCAGTGTGAGGGGCTGGTTCTTTGGCCTTGTGATGGGCAATTTGCATTAAAAAGAAAAAAACAAAAAGTGTAACATCACCAATGTTCACATTTTCAAACAAAATGCAGCCAACCTAGGCGTGTTGCTTCAATTATACAAATAGTAAAGATAGATAGTTACAGACTTACGTTGTTTCTAAAATGTATTTAATTCATAAAAAAATAAGAGGTCTCAAAAAGTTGTGAACTTCATCCCTCCTCATCCATCATTTTTGTTTTCCTTTTGCAGTGGTGACTAACGATGAGGTGAACCGAGCCATGGAGCACGGCCACGACTTGGCCCCACCCATCGCCTCGCTCAGATGGCAGGCCAACGGCCACATCGCCAAGGACAAAGACCTGAGAGACAGCTCGGTGGAAATCAGCCTGGACGAAACAAAGTAAGAACTGGCTCCACACTCGTTTAAATTATATTAGTTCTTGCTGGATCAGTGAGCCAGCCTTTTGTCTTCTGACTGACTGAGTCACTGGCTGTCTGACTGAGTCACTCCCCAACTGAGTCACTAACTGACTGAGTCGCTGACTGAATGAGTCACTGAGAATTTAAAGTCACTCAGATCGTGTTGTGTTTGGGCATCTTGAAAAAGATGTATTCTTTTTGAAATATCATTTTATACAGTAAGGCCCAAAAAAAAAAATAGTTCTGCTTCCGGTTTCCCTACCTACCCTATTCTGAGAGCCCCTACCATAATTTTTTTATGGGCAAAATGAGAAAAAAACACCCAAAACCATCAATTTCTAAGTTTTACATGTACACTTGACTACACGCAGACGCCTCCATTTGATTGAACACAAAAAAATTGGCCAAAAAAAAAAATTCCCTACCTACCGGGGTACCTACCCTATTTTAGAATGCCGTGTAATCGGAAGCAGAACGATTATTTTTTTTTTGGCTTAAGTTATTCACAAAAAAGTTTTTCACTTTTGAATGGACATGGATCAGAAAAAAAAAAGGCTCACGTTTAGTTATTGAATTATTACTTTACAAACTTTACTTGTGGCCCGATTACTTGTGGCCCGATAATAATGCTGCCTTCCTGTTGTTTCCACCATATTTGAAAAAGGCTAATGTATGGGCACAACAACTTAAAGGGAATATACAACATTTGCAAACATCGAAAAATAAAATTACCAAGTTTTTACGAAATACCTTAATAGGATGTTGGTAAATGACAGTCTAAAGCATCCTGTAAAATTATGGCACCTGGTATACTGTCATTTTCAAGAAAAGTGGTATTTTTGTATCAATTTCCAACGCTGATCGGCCGATCAGCGTTGGAAACAACTGGCTTTTTTTCAAATACTGGCCCCAATTGACCATTGCACTTGTTTGCAATCGATTACAAATCTATGAACGGGTACGAGCCAGCTAGACTGGTTCCCTGACCTTACAATTCCCCAATGTATGTAAACTGCTCTGTTTCTTCTTATATGGAGTCAGGGAACCAGACTACAGGAAAATGATCGTTTTTCTTGGTTTTTATAGCATTTTCGAACCCAAAACCTCCAAAAAGTCAGTGTAACTATATTTGCTTTATATTTCCCACCCCCCAATTCCATCCATTTCTGAAAATTACAGCAAAAGCAAATGATGTATATTCCCTTTAAATCAGGCATGCAACTTTTCCTCGGATCTGCTGATTTGCCTTTTTTTACTTCTCATGATCGCCATTAAAAATTGAAAAACACTGTACACAGTCTTGTGTGGTTTGGAATCTTCCCGTTTTTCCGTAAATTCCCAGTTGCATGTCTGAACAATATGACATCTGGATTGTTTTTCTTTCTGCATTTTTGATTTGCATGATAATTTGATTGGCAACGGAGAGAAATGGTTTGAAGTGGTCTTTGGATCTCACACCAAAAAAAAACTTTGCCACCTTTGTCTTCAGCAAATGTTTTACAAGATTACATTTTACTGTAAATCAGCACTTTTCTATATTTCCCCGAATTCTCTACGCAAATATTTGGTAAAAGGTTTATATTTTTTAATTGAATAAACCAATTTCCACAATTGCTTGGAAATTAGAGTGTCACTTTAATTATTATTATTTCTTTTATGTGAAGCCCTGCCTACTTATGATTATTCATCAGAAGTATAGTGAATCATTGGAACAAAAAGAAGTAATTCTAAAAAAAAAAAAAAAAAAATCGCAAAAAATCCCATAATCAACTCAATGCAGCAAATTGTACGCTCCTCCTTTGAATATCTAAGGAAAAATTGGTAGTTTTTTTCTGGAGGACAGTTTTTCATATTTGTTTTCCATTAATTTCCCATACTACCAGTACGTGTGAGTAATGAAAATAGAGTGACGATGCGGTTGTTATCATCTTTGTCTCGCCATCCGTCAAAGTCCATTATTTTTCTGCAAATCTTCATTTTCTTCCTGTCCTGGGCTTTACCAATATTCATATGAATTATTCTTTTATGAATGGTGGTAGCTAGCTCGGGGGAATAAAAACAGGGGAGAAAAAAAAAGGAAAATCACTTCATTTATGCTGATGTATCCTTTGTGTTGCCCTATGAATCATCACTTAAATTGGCACCAAGATTTCTTGGGTTATTTCCTTGAAGATTACCCGCGACAAAGCGCATGCAGATGTCTGTCCTCATCCCGACACGAGTTGTAGGGATTGGCGATTTTTGTACCCAAAAAAAAAAAAGATAGAAAGGGAGAAAAATGTGAATGAATTAAGTTATTGCACTTTATTGGATCTGTCGCAGTCAGGAGTTATGAGTAATACCGCAAGTTGCCCAGAGGGCATTTTAAGCGTCTGGGGCTTTACCCTGAGCGTTGGAAGCACTGGTACAAGTACACAAGGTTATATATATTGGGAGGTAGCAATCAGGTCTCTGCGTGTCGGTGTCTGGGTCCTCGCTCGGAGGGCTTAACTCAATCTTCCTTTGGGAAGCACCTGCCTTTTTTTCCCTACCCTGTGTCGGTCGGGAAGGCCAACTATGATTGGCTTGTAAAGGGAAAGAGGGGTCGCGCGATTGGCCAGTCAGTAATGGGGTTCTGAGTAGGAAGGTCATTGCTGATTGGGTGCTTTGAAATTGTCTAGAAATGTCCAATTAGGACTATGATTATTACACACCTGCTCTCACAGTAACTTGGATTTCTGTGTACAAATGTATGGTCGTTTTGCGATATAAAGATGGTATTTTGAGATTGAAATTGCCTTTGATGAGTACAGCTACATGTACATATTCAATTTTTTTTGTTGGAAAATTCACTAAATGATTTATAACTCCCTTATGGAAAGCCATTATAAGGGATTTTTTCCCCCCATTCGTTCTGTATCTATTTGCGTAATAATGCCTCTGCGGGTAGCTGAGTGTACTGCACATTCATGTACTACATGTGACATTGCTTGTACAAATAATTTTTAAGCCAATTTTTTAATATTCTCTTCCAAATCTGGTTAGTTTAAAAGGGACATTGAGCAAGTTTTGCCCGGTATAAGTGTGCAACTTCATTTATGTGTTGATCTTTTCAAACCGTGGACGAAAAATACCAGAGAACAAAAGAGCACAATATCGTCCACGATTCCCAGCATACGTCCGCGATTGGGGTCGTGTACAAAACATATGGGAGTCTTCCTAAAAAGTTAGAGTACAAACAAAAGAGGGACAATAGGACGTCCACGATCGACAGTGAACACAGTTTGTGTGTGTATGTTTGTGCACTGTGTACATACCCCGGTACATGCCCACTAAGTTATAAAAACTACATGCAGGACAAATAAATGATTGAAATAGCGCAAACAACCTTATTTTACAAATTCTGAATAAGAACAGCTTTGATTTGTTACAATCTGAAGAACAGAATTTAACTGACCAATGAATGAAAAGATAAGTAGGTCATCACCAAAAAACAAAATTTGGAACAGAGTAATTTATGCACGTATTTGTTGGGTAAGTTTTAATCACAGCATGGGTGTGCTGCTCCGAGGCACATTGCATTGTGGGTCCATTCCCCCGCGGCTGTTATGACTTCTGCTCGAGTGGCCACTCCTAAGTCTGATTCACCTCTCCACTATACCCACTCCCCCTAACCACCCTCCCCCAATTCATCCCCTCAAGGAACACCTCAGAAAACACACACAGGAAAGCCGGCCGGGTGATTACAGACCCATCCCAGCACCCCCAGGTGTTGATGAGTCTCGCCAGCTCCCCCCCCCCCCCCTTCCCTTTCGAAAAATTTTCCCCAACGACACCTTCCTCCTTGATTGCAAACCATTGTCCACTGCACCACTCCAAGGCTGGTAATTTCCTCCTCTAAAAAAAAAAATCATACCCAGAGGTGTTATTCCTTAACAAGATTCCACTCGCCCCCTTCCTCCCTCTCTGAATTATTATTTTCAGTTCTTCAGCTCAATTTTGACTGGCTTTTTATTTAATTTCAATTTTTTGTGGTGGTCTATATGATCGTGCGAAGCATTATTATTATCACCGCCTGGCAATCTGCCGAGGACACAAGTCAGTCTCTTCCCATTAGCCACAGACAATAGATAATCCCTACCCAATTTCGCCAGCCCTTCCTCCACCATGTCTTGTCCTCTCTTCCCCACCCTCATTTCCCCTCCAGCAGGATTTGCCTTCCCAACCCACCCACCCAAAACCGCCGCTCCCCAGCCGGCCGAGAAAACCCTCACAAGTACCACCGTGATTTTACCGTCCTTATCCCTGAGTAAATAAAACGGCTTTGTTGTAGAAAGTAGCAAGTCCGGAAGGACCAGGGAAGCCCAATGGGTATATAAACAAAGACAGAGAGAAAAAGGCGAACAAAAAATGACTGATCATTTTATTATTTTTTTTTTTTTAAACCCTGCAGCGGTGGTACTTTTGATTAAATTTCATGTTAACTTCAGAGGGTACACTTAAAGCCATGAACAGAAACAATACAAAGAAAATCAATTGAGTGACTTTTGTTTACCCACCGATTTCAATTTCATCGTTAAAGTTTCTGTGTATGAAGACGGAAAGCCTTTGAGGTATTTTTAGGGGTTTTTTGTGGTACATTAATTGTCTGCATGGCAATAGTTGTATGGCAAATTGAAATTTTTTTTTTGATGTCTGTTTACTGTGTTTAATACACATATTGAAAACAACAGACTTTTTTTCTAATTTTCAAAGCGTGTACAGTAAGATGTACATTTTGTAGGTTCATGATTTTTCTCAATTGGCACACCAGCATGCATCTGCACACAGATACCGGGCCATCCTAACTGTTGAATAGAAAAACCCTTTCACCATGGGCGAATGGGACGTTTTGAGCCCCGGCGTGAATGGGAGCAATAATGAATGTCATGTGATGTGAGTTCCACCAATCAAATGCCAAGGATCTGTATGTCATTATATAAAATGGACGATCCATCTGTCACCTCATGAAATTAATCTTACCATTGCACGCATAAACATTCATCATTTGTGTACTATTGTGCCAGTTTCATTTTGGCCGGTTAGCTGTTTATTCCTCAGCAAATATTTCCTATGATTAGCAAATTATCCATGTGCTCATGTGTGGAAGCTCCATCAAATTGGTCCCCATATCAATACTGGATATTCAACACAGGATGTACATATGTATGTGAGGCGTGCTGGCAAAGTGAGACAGGAGTGGGAAGGGGTCGAAATGAGGGTTTGCGGGTATTAAGAAAGAGAATAAAATTCTCCTTACAATACTATGTGTTGTACTTCAATCGGATATTTGGTTGACAAATTACTACTGTTTAAAGTTTGCATTTATCAACATGCCAAAAGGGAAAATACTGAGAAAAAGGCCTTTAAAGTGTCCAGTTTTGTATAAGTGAAAATGAAAGATTCCAATTTTTTTTCCTTAAAAGACACTTTCATTCCATGATTTTCACACTGTTTCTTTAAAATATGTGTTGTAGACAAATCAAAGATTACAAAATATCAATAAATCTGAAAATCAAAAAAAAAAAGTCCCCGTTTTTTTTTTTTTTTTGCTTTTTTCTTCACTGTGGCCTTTGCCCACGTCTGATTTTGCCAGAACAGCCCGGTATGTCAAGTCTCTTCTCTGGTCTTTGTCATTTTTGTCCGCTCCCCCCCCCCCCAAGAATCAAATTAAAAAAGACATTGAATTGAACCAAGTAAAAACTCCACAATCTATACCCAAGCTACTTTAGACATCCCGTAGTATGGTACATGTATGTCTGCAGCCTTGGAACATCAGAAAGGCAACAGATTTCCACCCACCCTCAGTGCACATATTCAGGGTCACTTGTTTTCCCGCCCGTAAATTGCCACCGATTGATTTTAGCGTCAGGACAATTAGATTTGTGGGTAGCGGGGATTGTTCAGTTCCTGATCCCCAACATTATCTCCTTAGCCTTGTAAGTGCCCAATTACTGTCATTCAGTCTGCCTAATTACGGACGGACGTATTAAAGCCTCATATATTTTCCTTTAGGATTTTAAAGAAGCGGCTCGGCACATCGTTGCATTTCATCATTTTTGAATGATTGTCCAGATGTCTCTTTTGAATTAAACAAAAATAACCTGTTTTCGCATTTTTGCAATGAAGATTTCTGCAGTCCCTTCATTTTACGATACTTTTCCCCTCGAACTTGGCATCTGCAACCCTCTTAAAAAACGGCTTTCATTTTGCGCATGAATGAAACCGTCCTGCGAGAGCCGAATTATTGTTGGGCCCAAATAGTTTGAGTTTAAAAAAAAATAATCAAAAATACTTGAGTCAGTGCATTGTTGTTTTTTAATGTCTCATTCAAAAGTGTATAACTTTTATACTGCTAGGAAAATAGCTGTTCAAAATATTTGTCAGGTCAAATAAAAGTCAGGTAAGCTGCCTAAAATTTAAGGGGCTTGATGTTTTAAAGTTTTGCCTTTCCTAAATCTTTCGTAGCACATTTACAGTGCCAAGAAATTGTTTTCTTGTAAAGTTGGTTGAAAATTTAAGGAGGGATGTTAACAAAAAGTAGTCTTTATGTTCCTCTCTGCAGTAAAATCCGGGAGGAGTTGGGACTAAAGCCCCTGCCGGTGGACAAACTCTCGCCGGCCAAACACAGAACAGGATCAAGTAAAGGAAGGGTAAGTCAGAAAATCAAAAGCTCTCAAAACAAAGAAAAAACAAACAAACAATAACAAAAAAGCAAAAACCAACAACAAACACATTACCGGGCAGATTGATGACGCAATTTGCTTAACTCGATGCATAGTTAACGATTTCAGTTTGTATTCGTGAAAAGGAACTTGTGTTGATCAAAGAAAAGTGGCTGCTGTCAAACCCTGCATTTCCTGAGAATTTTAAGGAAATAACTATAACATGTGTTGCCCGGTTTTTTTTTTAAAATGTGTGAAGTAATGTACATGTATGCACAGCCTCTCCTTGCTAATTACATGTAACGTTTGACACTGGCAAAAATAACCTCCTGTCGTTGCATGCCTGCATGGTTGTGCCCCATTTGTAGGACGTAATGCATAAATCTCTTTATACCCTGTCGGCGGCTCATATAAATAGTCCAATTGTTTTGGGCTTGTTTGGGTGAAGAGGTACTTGTAATACTGTAACAGTTTAGCAAAAGATTTAGGAGGCAATTGAACATTTCCAAACAGAGCGTTGATCTATAAAAAAATTGTTTCCCAGAACCTATACCCACTTCTGAGTCACTAACCTAAACTGGCCCATTTCGACATCTGTAATTTTTTTTTGTGTGAAAAAAAGATGAATTGGTGTTTGACTAGATGTAACATCCAATGTTTGCTTACATTGGGGATTTGGAGTCTGCCGGGAATGACATTTCCTTGAGTGAATTGTTTTCACACATTGCAATCACCGCTGGCAGGCCTTTTTATTTATTGTCATGTGGTTTCCAGAACTTAGATTGTACATTTTGGAGTGTTTTTGAGGCTGGGAGTGTGGAAAACTGGGAATGTCTTTTAAACATGCAGAGCTGGTAGAGGATCGTGCGAAAGTATGAAAAGTCATTGAGCCTGTAAAAAGATTTTTCACACTTGGTAATTCGTGAGAATTTTTTTTTTTTGGGGGGGGGTTCTAGATTAGAATTAAACTTATCAGTATGGACTCCATATTTGACCAAAAGAGGGGGCTGTTATTACCTAATTGTGATAGTGTTTGAAGGACACTTAGCTGGTTCACGTGCCCTGTTCACTAAAAATCACTTTCATTTAATACATGTTCATGTGAAATTTGTGACTGCCAGTTTGCAAATAACGTACGGTGTATTTACTTGTTTTCTTCAAAATCCTGCAAAACAATACTATAGCTTATAAGGGTAGGCCTACACCGCGTTATGAGGAAGTTTTTTATTGTTAGGCAAATTAGGGTCGAGTTATAAGGACTTTCTGCTGTCCCCACAGCATTTTCAGTCCCCATAAATACCGTACCTCGCACAGACAAGTGTATGTCCACACAACAACAGAACAAGACTGTGTGTACATACACATGCACATCCCTGACTTCAGAAAAATTAAATGACAATTTTTTTTTTTTTAATCATCAAGTTTTTTCTTCTTCCAAATGTTATTGAATTTAAAGTACATGTATAACACCAATTTGCAAACGCGTCCGGTCCCATCAGATAGAAAATGACACATTACACAGAGTCCGGTGTGGAGTGTTTGCCCATGTCATGAATTTTTTATGCGACGGTAACGCCACGGCAGCAATAGATCAAACCCTTGCCGTGGACTCGTGCATTCCCCCCCCCCCCCCCCCACATTTTTTTACTTTCGGTGCCGCAATGTCGCCAAGCCAATATGTCAAGCGTGCATTCCTCTCTGCGGCAACAGGTGCTCCAGACACCATTTCCATTTCCACCTTTGTGCTTCTTGTTTGGCCAGAGCATCCTGTCAAAACACCAAGTCGGCTTCTCGTGGGGGCTAGAAATAGCAGGAAGAAGACATTCAAACAACATTTTGGCGTCCTTGCGGCCGCTGAACTGTTTGTGTGTGTGTCCTTTGGGTTTGAAAACCAAACATTGAATCATGTTCTAAATTTGATGTTTTTTTCATTTGTTGTTTGACTTTCGCATGTTGTTGGTAGTTTAATCATACATCAGTCGGTACATGTAGAGATGTTTGCTTTTCATATGCCCTTCAAATATGTTGGCAGTTTTTGTCATTTGTGTGTGTGTTGATGTTTGTTCCTTGTTTACAGTGTTCTGTTTGACTATTTGGATTTCAAGATTATTCAGTGTTGACACGTTTTCACAAATTTTATTTCTGCACATGTACACATTTATTCCAATGCACTCTTTCCTGTTGGCTTTTGGTTAACACAATGCTTGCAAATTTATTCATCTTAACAGTGGTTGACTATGCTGTGTTGTACATGTTATTAGTTTTGACCATTTCGGATGCAGTGACAGATCGTAAAAATTAAAAAATTAATTTGGATTTCAAGTTAAATTGTACTGTCACATTTTGTTGTTCTTTAACCCATTTTACAAGAATTTGTTGAACCGTCAGTTTAAAACATTTACATTCTTTGTAACCCTTTAGTGACCAATGTGCCGTAACCAAAATCACACAAAAAATGTTCGTAGTGGTGACATGCATTCTTAACATTTTCAACACTCAGTTTTCTAAAAAAAAAATCATTGAAAAGTAAAAGAATCTTAAATCTGATGAAATAGATTTAATTACATGTGGGTCAGTCCATAAATTTGGGGTCCATTTTTGTTTAATTCAGGACACATTCTTTAATGCCTTCTATCTCCAAGGGTATGTAAAGCAAAGTACCTGCCAAACAATTAAAACGTAGTTTGAAGTCACTTTGAATGATATTTGGGTGCCAAATTACACAGGTCAGGTGTAACAGGGACTCAAAAATGTCGCGCTTTTGTACCCCAAATTTATTGAATGACCCATGTACCGTACATGTTTACCCTTCACACGCACAAAAAGTACTACCACCCTGGCCATACAGCATTGTACACCAATAAAAGTGTGGTCACTAAAGGATTCAACATATGTGATGCGATCAAGCTCAATGAGTCGTTTGTCGGGAACCTTCATTCGGAGATACAGGCCAAAATAGGGCCACTTCATCACATCTCTTGGTGTTCCGACTTTGATAATTTTTTAACTAAAGATGGTATCAGCATGCAGTTTTCACAGCAGTAATGCTGAGATTGTGCTCTTTTCAAATCTGTAAAAAAAAAAATTACCATGGTCGACAAACGACTCATTTTGCTTGACCGCATCACAATTGTTAAATTGTTCATGTTGATGATTTCAAACTCCACTGCATGATTTTCCAGATTTATACTAATCAGTTCAACTTTTCCCTGTCATCTTCTCAACCTTCTCCCCCACCTTCCCCCATCACTTTTATCCTCGACAGAATGCCAACATCCTGACAGCGGTACTAACCCTGATCAAGGAGCTGGATCAGGACACGCTGGAAGTGGTAGCCAACGCTTGCAAGGACCGCCTGGAGTCGTTATGATCCGCGGCCGGAAAACTACCGACCCCGTCCCACCCCCTTGTACATAAATGCACCCCCCCCCCCCAGCGGGATACCCTTACTCCCAACCTACCCCCTCCCCCTGGGGGAATGAGCTTTGTAGACAAGCTGGAGACAGCAGATTCCCCACGGTCCGGGGTCGCTCTTGCCACGACGATCACAGGGAAGAAGAAAAAAGCCCCCTTGGCAGAGCTCCAGGCTGCATGCAATTACAAATCCACGATCAATACGACACGTGAGGTATACTGGGCTTGCTCCTGAGCGCACCCCCCCCCCCCTTCTCCACCTTCATCCTCACCGCACACGAGAGAACGGTTGGACCGTGATTTGCTGCGAGTCAATCTCAGATTTGCATATTAAGCCGTTGCCTCTCTGCCCGGGACGCTCCGCATATAAATAGACAATCCGCCGGGCACGATGCAGCATTGCCTGGGTGCGGTGATGCGGTGGAGATCCTTGTTACTTACCGCGAAGTGTACGGTACGGCCAATTAACTAGAAGCCCACAATCCCCCTCAACCACCACTTTTTTTTTCCATATAGATAGAATTCAATTGATCTGCGTCCTGTCCAAATTGATGTAAGGTTACATGCACTTGGCCATCGGGATTGATGCATATTTTTTTTTCTCCCTTTTTTTGTTGTTGGGATTTTGTTGGGATTTCAAATTGAGCTTCGTTCAATCCCAGCTCGCCGACAACTCTGACGGAAAAAAGATGCAGACCACTGATTTAAAAAAAGACTCGTCATGACTCATCTGTTTTTTTAAAAAAAAGTTACTTAGGTATTCATTATATTCACATTCATCAATCAAAAACTCGTTGTACTCTTTAGACATATTTAGACAGTACAAGCTACTTGGGTAAAGTGGAGCTACATGTACAGTGTATATTGAATTTTTCAGTGTATGCAGTAATGATTTTTGTGGTTGACGTTTTCAAGTATCCTGTGTGAAAAGTTAAAATTATTAATTATTGTTAATTTTTATTCTGATCTCACTGCTTGACTTCAAGATGAATATCTCATATTTCTGTATCTAGACACAAAAGCCCTACACATGGATATTTGGGTATTATTGTGCCGTTGCCCCCCTATAGTTGGCAATCCAGAGATTCTTGCCAGTGGTTTTTTTTTTCATTTTCTGTTCAATCACTTTTGTCAAGGCACTAGTTTTCAGACTGCTCCTTATGAAAAAAAAATGAATCCAAGTCTAACTACTCAGTTGTAGTTTCTGGATATTAACCCTAACCCTCCTCAAAGCTCCAAAATCCTCCTGTCGGATTTGGATGATTTTAGAGGATTGAGGATAAATGTCAAAGATGTATCGCTTTTTTGTGGAGGATGCTTTAAGTCGAGCCAGTAGGCCATATCCTGCATTGGTTATGTTCAGCCATGCATAAATCAGCCCTGTGTTTTTCTCGTATTTCATCCACACTGCTTCTAAATGCCATTTGCACTGCCTCAAACCATAGCAGTACCGGTAATTAGCAGAGGATTTTGGAGAATTAAAGCAGTGATTACCCTCCACAGCCTAAATTCAAGAAATAACGGATGATTTTGGAGGATTGAGGCTGAATCCATTTTTTTCTTGGTGGCAATCGGAGGATTTTACAGGATTGAGGTTGCATCCTAGCCAGATGGCCTAGGGGTAAGGATTAACTGTACATCTGTTTGTTTTCATCAATGTTAAGTTAAAAGAATCCCACAAATCACACGAAGGATGCGGACTCGAACCCCGTACCACCTTCTTGCTAGTCTAGATAAATATCTCATCAATGGAATAGGCTAGGATACCGAACCACATGTGTGGATTTTGCTTGACATCTATCCTACGTTTAAAAAAAAAGCAGGAGGTTCTGAATTTAATGAATGAAAGGTTTGCGGAAACACCATGTGGGAATAATTTCTCAAACTGAAAGAATGGTTCTGAAAAGAACCAGAGGTATAAACTCAACGTTCCGGTCAGTATGCTCTGACCGTCTTCAGGAGAGTGCCGAAACTCTAAGAAAGTAAAGACTAGAGTACCAAAAGCGACATCGATGAAATGTGGAAGTTGCATCCTGTGTGGATGCCAAGTAGCTGGGAGCCTAGAGCAAGCTTGGTGTGTCCACTTGGTGTTTCCGCAAACCTTTCATTCATGAGTATCTCCACCCTGCAAAGCCTCAAATCTTACTTGGGTTCTGAATTTGTAAACCACCCAAATAACATCTTTTTCCTCTTCCCTTTTCACTGAGCCTCAACAAAAAAAAGATTCCAATCACCGGTCGGCAAGGGCAAAGAACCCTGACGCGAACTCTAATGGTTGTGTGCATTTTGCCTATTAGTATGCCGGCACTTGTCATAGACCAGTTGACCACTGCGCATAATTACCAGTCACGGGTGGATTTTTTTTCTCTCCTATAACTGCCGGAGGGCATTGAGATACTGCACATGAACACAGGTTCGCAGAACTTACGTACATTGTACTGTATTGACTGTACACTATTAGAGTGTTCCTTCAAAATAATATTAGGATGGAATTTGCGCCAGGGAGATGTACATGTAAAATCAATAGTATTGCCCTTCACTGATGTGTTTTATAAACACTGTATACTGAATGCCCAGTATTGAGTTCTGTAACGTGTACTGTGAAACTCATGAAAGTTTCATTGAAAGTGGTTGGAGAGTTAAATAATTTGTTGGGCCAGAATTGAAGATTTGCTGGATTTGTTTTAACAATTTTTGTGGGAAAAAAACATTAATTTAAAGCTGTTCTACCCATGATGTTCAACATTTTCAATTTCTCTCCTAATGAATTTTCAATTAGTACATACGTATACATTATTTTAAAAAAATAATAATAATCCTACTTTTTTATATTTTGGACCTTTTCAACATTTTAAAAATACACTTTTATTTTTGGTTGCTTTTGCCCCAATAATGCACACACAAATAGATACGCCTGAATGAATTATTGTATGGCCTGCAAATAATTCAAATTTGTAAAAGAATTATTCCATAACTAAATACCAGTATGGGCGGAGTTTTTGTTCAATGGCTCCTTCAAAAGTGAATAACTCTTGTATTGCTAGAAAAACAGCAATTTCAAAACAAAATCTATTTTTGAGATGAAACTCGAAAATAGTGCAACTTCTGTTAAATGTATGCGACCTGCTCCAAACACAAAATAACAGTAAGATTGCCAGATATTAATTGCCATGTGAAGGTACAACATTTTTTGAACTATTACAGTCTTTCAAAATTGCCCAAATTCCTTCCCCTCGGAGACTAATCAATACAGTACTGAGACCGGAAGGGTTGTATACCATTTAAAACTTTTGTTCTCCCGTACTCCATCCTTTGTCTTAGCAAATCTTCTGTAATGGGTTATTCCGACAGTATCCAAAATTACAAATCAGTTGTGTCTTCTGCCTCCAAAAGATAAAGGAAAAAAGGCAGGAATATTTTCCAAACCATATTTTTCTAAGAATCATGTTCTTTAATGTTACTGAGAAGCGTTGTCGTACAGAAAAGCTGAATGTCAAGTACCGTATGCCATTAGTGTTTGAATGAAATGTCATTCTGCTGCACTTGTTAATTAATGCATGATAGTACGTACCAATCTAATTTCAATCAACTGATGTTGTCAAATTATTATTTTTTTAAAATATGAGTCATTCTTTAACTTTAGTTTTCCGAAATGTGACATTTTCCTGTCCTTGTTACCTTGGTACTCTGTAGTTTTGCTATTCAAGTATCATAAAGAATGACTTCAAACGATTGTTTATTGTGTTGAAAAGGCAGTTTGCTAACGAGTGCACCAGAATTATAAAAATCATAGATGTCAGATGTAACAGGGACAGGAAAAATGTGGACCCCAAATTTATAAGATGACCAATCTGAATGGACATATGCTATTTGGTCAAATTGACATATCAATGGAGTACCGAAGTGAATACGTCACGAATACAAAATGTGTGTGAAAGACATTAGCGCATGATTCAGCCCGAGAACCAACACGCGCGCATACTCCATTCGTTTGCACTACACTTTCTGGTTCTAAATGACGTCACACTTCGGTACTCCGTTGCTATCAACTTTGGATTGTAAACTGTTACTAATTCCTGTATAGTAAACTTGTATTTGAAATTGTTTGAAATCAATGCAAGCGTCATCTACATGTTACAAAACAATTGTCAAAGTAAATATACTGCTTCTTCACTGGATTTTCTAGTTAAAATGGCCAATTTGTAAATTGCATTCAATGTACTGCATATGTAAATAGACACACCTTGATGTAAATACATTTATTATCAAAACATAATTGTTAAGGTGACAATTGTATAAAATATTGTATGTCTCTATCTGTTCAATTTATACCGTGTAGTTTGTGTACTGATGTTCTTGTGAAATTGACGTATGACAACTGGTGCGTTGGGTAAAAAGCTTAAAACTGTGTTAACAAAAGAAAGGATTTCCGGAGGTTGAGCCGAGGGGCAGAAAAACAGGGAGCAGAAAAACAATTCCAATTCAAGCCATGAATCACAATTCTGTTCAGATTTCAAATTTTCATAAAAAAAAGAACACAGAAAAAACTCAATTGAATCCCCGCATAATGCTTTGCCAAAAAAAAAGTAATTGAAAGGTATCATTGCTCTCTGTAAACATGATTCTTACCCCTTTGAAGTATTTATCACAAGTTTTTCGTCTGCTCTGTAATACATCTCATGCTACTATGTAAAAAAGTTTGGTTTCTTCATTAGAAATGCCCAATCTTAAGCTCGTAATTTTTGGAGTTGGCGTGCCTTCAGGATTGTTGGGCACTGCCTGGAAATCGACTCTCAGCAAACGAGAGTCAGCTGTCATGGTGATTTGATTTTAAAAACAATGAGAGGCATGATTTCGATTATCAGTTTGAAAATATGCTGCGCAGGGTTGCCCAAGCCTATAGTCATCAGTGTTGTTACCGAGTCCATCACAAATTCCATCAGGACTCTTGAGATCCCACAAGTCATCATGTGTCATCGCGTGTCCCCACAAGTTCCCTCACAAGTACTAACAAGTTCCATCACAAGTCATAACAAGTCCTCACAAATTCCATCACCAGTCCTCACAAAGTCATAAGTCCTCACAAGTTTCATCACGAGTCCTCACAAATTCCTCACAAGTCCTCACAAGTTCTATCAAAAGTCCATCACAAGCCTTCACAAGTCATTTTAAGTTCAAAGTCATAAGTCCTCACAAGTTCCATCACGAGTCCCATCACGAGTCCTCACAAGTTCCCTCACAAGTCCTCACAAGTTCAATCACGAGTCCTCAAAAATTCCTCACAAGTCCTCACAAGTACTAACAAGTTCCATCACAAGTCATAACAAGTCCTCCCAAATTCCATCACCAGTCCTCAAAAATTCCTCACAAGTTCTATCAAAAGTTCATCACAAGTCTTCACAAGTCCTTTTAAGTTCAATTACAAGTCCTCACAAGTCAATCAAGTCCTCACAAGACCTCACAAGTGCCCACAAGTCCTCACAAGTGCCCACAAGTCCTCACAAGTCAATCACAAGTCTTCACAAGTCAATTACAAGTCTTCACAAGTCAATCACAAGTCACCAAGTTCACAATTGAACTGTGACAAGGGCATTTCAGACTAGTTAGTGCATGAACTTGTGATTTACTTGTGGCTGGACTTACGATGGACTTGTGATAGACTCGACTACAACACTGCCAATAGCCTGGTAGAATTAATTTCTGTAATGAAATGTGAGTAGTATTAAGCGGCATAAATGTA